TGCCTTAAAACGCATAAAGGTGGATAAATCACTGGGCCTTGATCAGGTGTACCCTAGAACTTTGTGGGAAGCTGGGGAATTGATTGCTGGCCCCCTTGCTGAGATATTTTTATCACCGATAGCCACAGGTGAGGTGCCACAAGACTGGAGGTTGGCTAACGTGGTGCCAATATTTAAGAAAGGTGGTAAGGAAAAGCCAGGGAACTCTAGACCAGTGAGCCTGACATCAGTGGTGGGCAGGTTGTTGGAGGAATTCCTGAGGGATAGGATTTACATGTATTTGGAAAGGCAAGGACTAGTCAACATGGCTTTGTGTGTGGGAAATCATGTCACGAACTTGGTTGAGTTTTTTGAAGAAGTAACAAAGAGGATTGATGAGGGCAGATTGGTGGATATGATCAAAATGGACTTCAATAAGGCATTTGACAAGGCATTAGACTGGTTTGCAAGGTTAGATTTAATGGAATACAGGGAGAGCTAGCTATTTGGATGCAGAACTGGCTCAAAGGTAGAAGGCAGAACGTGGTGGTGAAAGGTTTCTTTTCAGACTGGAGGCCTGTGACCAGCGGTGTGCCACAAGGATCGGTGCTGGGTCCACTGCTTTTTGTCATTTATTTAAATGGTTTGGATGTGAACATAGGAAGTATAGTTAGTAAGCTTGCAGATGGTACTAAAATTGGAAGTATAGTGGACGTTTACATCATCTATAAGTACAAGTGAGATGCCTAATGACTGCATGATGGCTAATGTTGTACCTTTCTTTAAGAAAGGTTGAAAGCAGAAAGCAGAACAATAGACCTGTGAGTCTGACTTTGGTTGTGGGTAAATTGTTGGACATGATTATAAAAGGTAGGATTTATGAGAGGCAAAAATTTATCAAGGATAGTCAAAGTGGTTTTGTGTCTCACAAACTTGATTCAGTTTTTCGAGGAAGTTACCAAAAATGTTGATGATGGCAGAGCAGTGGACATTGTTTATTTGGATTTTAGTAAAGCCTTTAACAAGGTTCTGTATGGTAGACTAATTAGTAAAGTTAGGTCCCATGGGATTCAGGGTGAGCTTGCCAGTTGGATGCATAATTCGCTTAATGGCAAGAGACAGAGGGTAATAGTGGATGGTTGCTTTTCAGACTGGAGGCCTGTGACCAATAGTGTTCCACAGGGATCAGTTCTGGGTCCTGTTTTGTTTGTCATTTATATAAATGATTTGGATGAGAATATAGAAGGTATGGTTAGTAAGTTTGCGGATGACCCAAAAATTGGTGGCATTGCAGACAGTGAAGCAGATTTTCTAAGATTACAAAACAATCTTGATGAAATGGGTCAATGGGCTGAAAAATGGCAGATGGAGATCAATCTGGATAAATGCGAGGTATTACATTTTGGTACAACAAACAAGGGTAGGGCTGATACAGTTAATGGTAGGGCCTTGGGTAGTATTGTAGAACAGAGGGACCTAGGGGTGCAGGTACATAATTCTTTAAAGTTTGTATCACATATAGACAGGATAGTTAAAAAGGCATTTGGCACGCTTGCCTTCATTTCTCAGTCCTTTGAGTATAGGAATTGGGACATTATGTTGTGGTTGTACAGGACATTTGTGAGGCCTCTTCTGGAATACTGTGTCCAGTTCTGGTCACCCAGTTATAGAAAGAATATTATCAAGCTAGAGAGAGTTCAGAAGAGACTTAACAGGATGTTGCTGGTTATGGAAGGTTTGAGTTATAAGGAAAGGCTGGATAGGCTGGAACTTTTCTCATTGGCATATAGGAGGTTGAGAGTGACCTGATAGGTATAGATAGAGTTGATGGTAGTTGTCATTTCCCTAAGATGGAGGATTTCAAGATTAGGGGGGACAATTTTAAATCTCTCTCCTCTCACCTTAAAAGAGACATAAGAAGCAAATCTTTTACACAGAGGATGGTTCACGTGTGGAATGAACTTCCTGAGGAAGTGGTGGATGCGGGTACAATCACAACGTTTAAAAGACATTTGGATGAAAAATGAATAGGAAAGGTTTGGAGGGATATGGGCCAGGAGCAAGCAGGTGGGACTAGTTTAGTTTGGGATTATGTTCGGCATGGACTAGTTGGACCAAAGGGTCTGTTTCTGTGCTATATGATTCTATGACAGAGAAGAAGGTTACCTCAGAGTACAATGGGATCTTGATCAGATGGGACAATGGGGCAAGGAGTGGCAAATGGAGTTTAATTTAGATAAATGTGAGGTGCTGCATTTTGGAAAGACAAATCAGGGCAGGACTTATACACTTAATGGTAAGGTCCTGGGGAGTGTTGCTGAACAAAGAGACCTCGGAGTGCAGGTTTACAGTTCCTTGAAAGTGGAGTCGCAGGTACATAGGATAGTTATGAAGATATTTAGTATGCTTGCCTTTGTTGGTCAGTGCATTAAGTATAGGAGTTGGGCAGTCATGTTGCGGCTGTACAGGACATTGGTTCAGTCACTTTTGGAATATTGCGTGCAATTCTGGCCTCCCTCCTATAGGAACGATGTTGTGAAACTAATGAGGGTTCAGAAAAGATTTATGAGTATGTTTCCAGGGTTGGAGGGTTTGAGCTATAGAGAGAGGCTGAATAGGCTGGGGTTATTTTCTCTGGAGCATCGGAGGCTGAGGAGTGACCTTATAGAGGTTGATAAAATCATGAGGGGCATGGGTAGGGTAAATAGGAAAGGTGTTTTCACTGGGGTGGGGGAATCCAAAACTAGAGGGCATAGCTTTAAGGTGAGAGGGGAAAGATATAAAAGGGGCCTAAGGGGCACCTTTCTCATGCAGAGTGTGGTGCATGTATGGAATGAGCTGCGAGAGGAAGAGGTGTAGAATGGTACAATTACAACAGTTAAAAGGCATCTGGATGGGTATATGAATAGGAAGCGTTTAGAGAGATGTGGGCCAAATGCTGGCAAATGGGACTAGATTTATATAGGATATTTGGTCAGCGTGGATGAATTGGACCAAAGGGTCTATTTCTGTGCTGTACATCTCAATGACTCCATGACGCTATTTAAAACAGCTTTAATTGGATAAGAGTAAATAAAAACATTAAGAAACATTAAAAAGAGACGTAATGATTCCATAACAATTTAATATCAGAGAGGGGCTCTGGGCATCATTGAATATGCCAGCATTCATTGCCCATCCCTAACTGCCCAGAAGATATTTGAGAATCAACCACTTCCAGGTTCAACACCACAATATCCTCCATGAAGGACAACGAGAGATAATAGATCCTCCACTGGAGAAATGATTTACGGAGAACCAGAATTGAGGTTGATAATTCGTGAGATTTACCGGTCTTCCAAGTCAGAAGGCATTGTGTTGTGGAAGAATTCCGTAATCTCTGGATTCACTATTGTAGGTGGTCTAGAGACTTGGAGAGGAGATGGAATAGTCGGTGGAAATGTAAAAGTAGTTATATACATCATTGCAAAAATCTGTTTGGGGGAGATGTTGTAAAATGCAATAGTTCTGAAACAATAAATGTTAAGTTGCATTAGCTCCACCCAACCTGATAATATCACACAGTCATTGGATAGAGAAACAGTTAGTTTTGCTAACTGATGGAGACGGATGTTACAATTATGCCTAATCATTCTATCTTTTAATATATTATTTTAATATTATGCAATATATCACATCTTGTATGTAAGGCTAGTACCTCTTTTTGTTAAGGTGATGTGCTGGCCTATCCTCTGCCTCAAATAATTAATACAGGCCTCTAGACTCAGCATAGAAAGGAGCATTGGCGGTAATGAATTACCTCCACCACAAGACTTCAGTAGTTGGTAACCAGAAGGTTTGACTGCCCTCCCTCTTGGAATCACGATAAATTTCTCTTTGTCCTCGCCTCCCACCCCATTAGCCTCCACATTCAGATATGCAACCAACATTTTTCCACTGTTCCCAGTGTGGTGTCATCACCATTCACATCTTCACTGTTCCTTTAAGCATTCCCATGTGATCATGCCTCTGATATCACAGTTCACCTCCAATATCTCATCCCCTTCTAAGGGACCTTTCTCTGCAAATGCAGAAGATGTAACACCTGCCCCTTCAACCCTCTTCACCGTCCAAGGCCAAAAACACACCTTCCAGGAGAAGCTACAATATACTTGTACTTCTTTCAATTTACCATATTATGTTCACTGTCCACAGTATATTCTCCTTTACATTAGGAAGACTAAAGGCAGATTGAGTGATGGCTTTACAGACCACCTCCATTTAGTTAGCCAACATGACCTTAATATTTCTCTGGCTTGTCATTCTAATTCTTCTCCTTGCTCTCATCCTGACATTTCTATCCCGGTCCCAACACTTTAACATGAATGTTCCACGTATCCTATAAAAAGGCAGGGATAGATAGGGACCATATATCATTTTTGTTTCCTTGTCCCACACCCCCATTCCTAATGTTCCTGTAAACCTATCATTCAATTCTTCCCACCTTCCACCCTATTATGGACATTGTTTGCCATTGCCCCACTAATTTTGCTCGAAACCTATTACCGTTTCTGATTAAAGGTAATTGATTTGAAATGTTAGATCTCTTTCTCAGTCCACAAATGGTGCCATAACCTACTGAGTATTTCCAGCAATTTTTCTTTTTGTTTTCAGAATGTACAATGTTTGAGCCAATATTAAACAAAGGAATACTCCCATGAATTACAAAGAAAATGCGTAGAAAAAATCCTCCATAATGGATTTCAAGATAATTGTACCAGGTGGTGAAATACTAAGCGGGATGTAACAGAAAGTAACAAATTTGATTCCTGATCTATGCTTTCAACTTGAGCAGCGATGATGGGAGGAGTGTTGCAATTGGTATTTGTGTCCCTTGTCAGTAAATTGGTGAATTTGCTGGTTTCTGTTTCTGTGTACATTTAGTTAAACCTGCTTGAGTATGTAAAATAGTTGCACACATGAGATTGCATTCGGTTAGAATGACTCCAAAATGAATGACCTATTTGTATTCTCTGTTACAGGTCCCTATAAAAAGAAAAGCCGTAAGGTATCAAGGTGGGTGCTTCTAGCATCTATGGCACTTTACTTACATGAGTCATCATCTCTATGAGCAGAATAACGGAAACATTAGGAATAATTTGTGGCCACATTTTTGATTTTGGTCATTTTGGAGTGGTGTTTTCATTCGGGATTGACCTGTCAGAAATGTATGAATTATATTGTAAATTTAGATTTCAATAAAAAATGAAGCAATAAACATTTGGGAAGCATAGCGTCTCTTTAGTGGGAATTATGAGAGGTTAATGGGTTCACTTTTTGCATGAGAAACGTGTCTGATTGATTATTCCATTAATTTATTATTTGTTTTTGTTCAATCTACACACAGATTGTGGCACTAAACTAGACCAACCATGATAAAATATGAGTCTTCTGGGACGTTTCACGCTTCAGTGGGTCATGTCCAGAAAATCCTGTGACTGAGTGGAGTCTATCAGCAGATGTTGAAACAATGGTTATAAATTAGCCCCACCCATTTAAAGATCTTACAAAGTGGGGGGAAATAAAGCCAAGTTACCTATCCTTTCTTGGAATTACAATGCAAGTGATGAGTTGCCTGTCATTTGTAAATGACAAAGAGAATGCAAATTCTCCATCAGTCCCTGATTTATTACCTGGACCACCACCATCATCACCTCCACTTGCAGGACCACCACCACCTCCACCGCCGCCGCCGCCACCACCACCACCACCACCAGGACTCCCACCACCTCCTCCACCCCCTCCTCCACCAGGTTCCCATCGTGGTCATAAAAAACGGATTCGCAGTTTCTTCTGGAAAACCATCCCTGAGGAGCACATCCGTGGAAAAACCAATATCTGGACTATTAGTGCTCGAGAGCACTCCTACAGGATTGATACCAGTACTATTGAAGAGCTGTTTGGACAGCAGGATGAAGTCAAATCTAAATTTAGCACGACAAACAGGAATTCAAGGTCTCTATTCAAAAGCAACAACCAAGAGGTAAAATCAAAATTTGAATTTTGTTTATGTTTTCCGATTTATTGCAGTTTATGGGTTCTTTCCAAAATGTATTGATTGCCAGCTGCAACTCAATGGTAATGATCTTACCTCATTTAGAAGGTTGTGGGCTGAAATCCTATTAAAAGGATTACAGTATATTATCTAAGCTGGCACTTCTGTGCACTATCCTGGACAGTTCTGCTCTATTGAAGGTTCCATCTTGCAGCTGAGACTTTCAACCAAAGTTCCAACTAGGTGGGTATAGCTGATCCCAAGTCCCAATTTCAAAGATGCACAGGCCAATATTTATCCCCCCGACCATCATCTGAGATTGGAATTGGCATCCTTCCATCTGTAGCCTCAGAACTTTGGTGAGGCCAGATGAGATCATCTGCTGCATTTGCTTTATTTCTAAAACCAGTTAATCGGTCATTACAACAATGCTGTTACTTGGACCATGTTTGCACAAACTCGATGTTGTATTTTCTATAGAACAACAGTGACTGTACTTCTGTGTTCATCACTGGCTGTAAAGTACTTTGGAAAGTCCTGAGGTTGCAAATGATGTTGCATTTTCTTGATTGCTTTGGAACATGCTTGAATGAAAATTAAATTTCAGTGAAGGATTTGCCAAAAATAAAATATGAGTAGCACACTGGAATGTCTAAAAGTGCTGTTTAAATGGTTTTTATTTTTTAAAAAAATCACCCACTCCTATTGAAATGTGGACCTCTGTCTAAAATAAATTGCAATTACTAATATTGTAACATTATGGAATGAAAATTGAAAATTGAAAATCTTGAATATTCAGCAAACCACTCAGGTTCTCAGATGAACGTTTCACAAGAAGGCCGTTTATCAAAAGTGAAGCATGAATTTTTATTCTCAGATGCTGACAGACCAGCAGTGCTATTATCGGAATTTTTATAATTCATATTAAATACATTTACTCTCTTTTAGTCCCCACCACACCATTCTCCTAAAAAAGCTTTGTCAAAGTTATTCTTAAAGCATCTATTGCAAAAGTGTATCTGAATGGACTAGGTGATTCAGTTACCATTTGATGATACCTGCCTTCATAAGTTTAATTTTATCTATATATTTAACTGGCAGTTTATATTTAACTGGCAATCCCAGGAAGGTGATGCCCAAATGGAGATCCTAACCTCCCTATACTGGGTCACTCTATTGTTTCTTTTCTGAATAAAAGCCTTGTGTTGGTAGATTAGGCCAGAAAGATTTGCATTCTGATACAGCAGATACTAGGCTATCAATCATTCCATAGAGAAAATCTCTGCCATAACAATCACATAAGTGCTTTATCACATTCATTCACTATGCCAGCAGCACTGCTGCCTAAAACAATGCAATTATATTTCAAACAAACACACTTCTTATGGTTTCCATCGTGTCTGACTGGCGAAAGCATGCCTTAGTGACTGGTAGACTGTAGCAGGTGAGGAGGTGATGGGAATGCAGTATGACTATCTGATCAGGATAGTGCATTTCCATTGTAGTCTTCATGTGTTTAGAAATTAGTTCTCTTTCCATCAGCTTCACAATTGGAGCTTCATCTTCTGTGGATTTATTAAGATATTGCTCAACTCATTCAATTTCTTTGTTAATCCGTGCCTCCACTTTCTTAATGTAGAGATGAACTATTCTCTGCTAAGTCATCTGGCTTTCCATCCGAAAGATTTATGCTAATATTTCTAAAAACTGAGCCTTAAAATCTTTGTCATACACTAAGCCAAGAATCATTTGCATCTGACATGCATTCCAAACTGCTCCTCTGTCTTACGACCTCTTCTTTCCTCTCCCTTGCAATCATATCCAGGAGAGTGTGGCTTTAGTGTGTTATGGTTGTATCTGACTGATCTCTAAAAATTATTTGCCTTCAGCTATAAATATTCTTTACATTATTCCATTAGTTCACATACATGAGGATATCTCATCATCACCATTGCTATCTCGTGATCATTCTGTGCTTGATTTAAGGTTTATAGAAAGTTCAACACATTATCCTATACCCTATTGATCAGATATTCAGGTATGTGTCCCAGTTCAGAATGTAGTTTGTCACTTACGTAATACTATTATAAATACATTTCTATCGAGTTCTTGAAAGCTGAGTCCACTATTATTTTTGCATCAAATCTCTTGGATGACATATTTCAATAATTTCCACATACTATTTATATACTTCTCATCGATTGGCATGGGAAACACTCATATCCTCACTTTGCTGTCTGTCTTTGCCCCAGCGTTGCCAAGATTTGACCTAATGGCGGATGGTTTATTTCACATAGGGGAGGAGAGAAAAAGAAAGGTGTGAGTGAGGGTGATGGAGGTTCAGATAAAAGAATGAGCTACAATTAAGTGGCCCTGTTAGATGAGATCTTGGTCAGTGATTCAGGACAACCTAACCCCCTTAACACAGTGGTGCAGAAGGTATTAGAAAGAAGTTATTAGGAAGAATATATCTGTACTTGGAGAGATATGGATTAATCAGGGATAGTCAGCATGGATTTGTTAAGGGAGGGATTGTGTTTGACAAATTTGACCAAGCTAGCTAGGAGAGTTGTTAAGGGTAATGCATTTGAGCGGTCTGCATGAACTTGGATCCTCATGGCCGAATTGTCAAGAAAGTAAGAGCCCATGGGATCCAAGGTAAAGTAGCACATTGAATCCAAAATTGGCTGAGATGAAAAAATCAGAGGGTGATGGTAGAGGAATATTTCTGTGATTGGAACTGTGGGGCTCTGCAGGGCTCGATGCTGTACATCAATGATTTGGACTTAAATGCAGGAGGGATGATCAAGAAGTTTGTGGTTAACACGAAAATTGCTAGGGTGATAAGTAGTGAAGAGGATAGCCTTAAACTGCAGGAGCATATCAGTGGACTGCTCAGCTGGGCAGAGCAGTGGCAAATGAAGTTCAACACAAGAAAGCCTACTTGGAAAAGGCTAACAACAAGGCAAGAGATTACAGTATACTAGGCAGGTCCCTGAAAAGTACTGAACTTCAAAGGAACCTTGGTTTGCATATCCACAGATTTCCTGAAGGTTGCAGCGCAGGTAGATAAGGTGATTAAGAAGGCTCATAGGATACTTGTCTTTATTAGCTGAGGCGAAGAATACAAGAGCAGTGACGTTATGCCAGACAGAATAAAATGCTAAATAGACCTCAGCTGGAGTACTGCATGCAGTTCTGCATTCTACATTATGAGATAGATACAATTGCACTAGAGAGGGTACACAGAAAATTTACTAGCTTGCTGTCTGAGCTGGAGGGTTTGTACTATGAGAAAAGATTGGAAAGGACCTGATGGAGGTATACATGGTTAACAGGGGCATATATAGAGCAGCTAGGAAGACACTTTCTCTACTAATAAAGGGGTCAGTAATCAGGAGGGTGTAAATTTAAGGAAAGAAAGAAACTGACTAAGAGGACAGTTGAGGAAGTCTTTATTTACTCAGAGTTTAGAGGAAGTCTGGCTCTCATTGCCTGAAAGGATGGTTGAGTCAGAAACTCTCAACATCTCAGCAGTATTCAAATATTCGCTTGCGTTATCATAGCCTTCGCGTTATCATAGCCTTCAGGGCTTTGGGTGGAGAGCTGGTAAATGGGATTATTGTAGTCAAGTCCTTCTCCGTATACACCATGGGCTGAATGGCCTCATTTTGTGCATGTCTGAGTGCATGGTGCTGAATAATGGATTGTGCAGGAGACTGCATTAGCTAATCTGCTGGGGTGGGAGCTGAGCAGGGTGTTTAAAATTAGAAAGAATAAGTTATAAGACTCCAGAGATAATTGAGAACATGACATGGAACTGAGGAGTGAGGCAGAAGTACACAGTTGGAGAAAACAACTTTAGTAGGAGTTAAATTTTCAATAGAAATCAAACATGACATTGCACCCAACTGACATTTAGGGGATAATAAAAACTTTCTTGTGTTGGGGAGAGGGTCTCGCAATTTGGGGAGGTTAAATTTTTAAAAATACTCATAAGCTACCCAACTTGTTACCTAAGTACGCTGTAATTTTTACAGCAGTCTTTTTGGTGTGCCTATTTTTGTCCTGGTGAGATACTTCACCAAGCTCCCACAGTGTATTTTGGAGCCTGAGATTTAAAATTTAATGGCTGCGGACCAGGTGTCCCAGCATTTCAAAGACCCAAAAGCTAACAGGAGGCAGAGGCTGCTGGTTGTAAAGTATAAATGCCTTTTTGAGCACTACTTGTGAGTCTGAAGGAAGAGGAATTCTTGCAGCCCCTGAATAATCCTGTCAACTGTGGGATCTTTTCACCAATCTATCATCCCCGTTCCTGTCTGAAACCTGCAATCCTTGCCTATTCTTCTGTGATCTACTGATAACCACCCCAGCCCCAACTCCAGACTCATGATCCCAGATCTCCTTTGTGTGATGTAGTGAGTCTCCACTCCAAACCCTCAATACTGAACCTCCCTCTTCAGAGTTAGAATAAGAAGATTCTTCTTTGAGAAAGTTGGAATTCCCCCCACCCCAGGGCAATGTGAGCATTGGCGATTTAATTTGG